AGAGAGAGAGAGAGAGAGAGAGAGAGAGAGAGAGAGAGAGAGAGAGAGAGAGAGAGAGAGAGAGAGAAGCAGGGTGTGGGACAACAGGATAGAGGCAGTGCGCAATTTAGGTGTCTGGTTGAGTGTAAAATGTACTCTACATCTACTGGAAGTCGGTTGCTAGTAGACAAAGCTCAGCTTTTTTGTTGCCTGCTGGGATGGCTGGTCTAGGTTCTCAGCTTTTGTGTTGCGCGCTGGGATGACGGCTCTGGGTCGTTTATCGACCGACTGGTTAAGGCTTCAAGCTGTCTGTCTCTGTACAAAAGAATACAAGGGAGTGGCCTCATAACAAGCACTGCTGGGCTTGATCTCCCATTTCTCCTTGTCGTCCTCGCCATCGTTTCACAAAAGAGGTCTCGTTAGTGGTTCTTCGTGAGAAGAACGCTGCCCTTCTTGAGAAGAACGCTGCGTTTTATTCCTTAGTAATTCATCTCTAAAGTTCTGAGCAAAACCAATGTCATTGTACTACGAGGACTTGGGCGAGAACTCGTGTAAGTGATACCGCGAAGTTGAAGTCATCACCCCTCCATTACCTGTCTGCCATGACAGCCTTCTCGTTCTCTTACCCATCGAATCGTTGTGTACGATAGGAGCGCCAGCGAATCCTTGTGTACAATAGGAGCGATGGAGTTCGATATTGGGCGGGGGGTCGGTCCGTAGGTGAGAGAGTGGTTGGGTGGGAGGGGTGGAGGACGAGCTGTGCATTACGCTTGCTGGCAGTCCAACCCTACGTAAGGGTGCCCTGGCATGTTAGCCAGCACGCCGAGCTGATGCCGTCACAATGGTCACAGCAGCGTTATCGTCTCTTCGTCTCTTATTCCACTAAGCCTTGTGTACGATAAGAGCAAAATGGGAGGGTGTTGCTATTGAGCCAGGGGTCCCTAGGGAGGGAGGGAGTTGGTGGGTTGCCATCCGGAGGGGTGGGCGAGGAACGGTGCATTACTATAGCTGCCAGGGCACCCTTACGTAGGACAACGTCTTAGACGGAGGGCGAAGCCGATGCTCAAATATCCCCGGTGGTATCGAATAGCATTGTCGCAACGAGTTTGGCTTTCGAAGCTGAAAAAGAAAGACGAGGTAATGGAGAGGTGATGACTTCAGCTTCGCAGGAAAGTGAGGACTCTGAGGAGGGGAGTTTGGATGACACGTGTCATTACAACCCTATTAGTTGGGGGGGGGATGTCCTGAGGCTCCACCCTTGACCTCCCCCCTTTTTTACTTGCCTTGCCCATTTCACAGGAATTCAAATCTTCTGCCCATGACGTTCTCCCTCGCATATATATTCCAACCCCTCCTAAAGTCGTTGCAGCTTTGCACAAACCATATGTGCACACTGCACACGCACACAGATTTTTCTGTCTTTTCCTGGGACTCATTTGTGATTCAGGATTATGCCGATTTTTCTTGTGCAGTTATGTGCTGGGAAGCTAAGAACCTTGCGCTTGTCACGAGTGAGCATGCGCAAAATCTCACTCTCTTCTGGTCTCTTTCATACACTCTCTTGATTTCCCTCCCTCTCCTCCCCCC